GCCAGAGGTGCAGGGGAAGTGAGAGGATTCACCAGAGACAGAGACAGAGTGGGGAGCAGAACAGGCCTACTGACGAAGTACACTGCTGAGGGGAGCAGCAGGCGGGTCTGGAGAGGTCTGCTGCACCCTGTGGGTCACCTCCGGGGCTGGGCATCAAACTTGCACTGAAGCAGCTGCTGCTGGCTTGCAGTGTTGCATCCTAACCCCCTGCACCACCAAGGAGGGCCCTAGGGGCTGAATATTTAATAGATGCAAACCCCAGGGAAAGAAGCAGTTTGAAGGAATCTGAAAGACCCACTGCAATAACACACAAATGATAAGGAAGCAAAACAGCCTTATTGCTGATGTGGAAAAAACTTGAGTGATCTGAATAGAAGATCAAGACAACTCCGGTTTTCCCTTAAACCAGAACCTAACCCAGAGCAAGACTCTAACTCTTTTTAGTTCTATGAAGGCTAAGAGAGATACGGAAGGTGCAGAAGAAGAGTTTGAAGCAGCAGAGGTTGGGCAAAGGACAGAAACCATCTCTATAACAAACAAGGGCAAAGCGAAGCAGCAAGTGCTGATATAGAGGCTGCAGACAGTTATCCAGAAGGGTCAGCTGAGGGCATTGATGAAGATGGCCACAACAGGTTTTTAACATCGACAAAATAGTTGATTGGAAGAAGTCCAGGACTTTCATAACTAAGGGGCAAAGTCGATGCCTGACTTCAAAGCGTCAAAGGGCAGGTTTGTTAGGGGCTAATGTACTTGACGACCTTAACGTAAGCCAATATTCAGTCACCATCCCCCAAATTTTAGGATCCTTGAGTCTGATGCTAAGTCTATTGTGCTGTGCACCGGAAAAAAAAATTATTCTTTTCAAAATATTACTGCTCATGGACAATATTCCATTTTCATGAGAGGAAGAAATATCAATGCCACAAACTTCATTGTTACCTTATTTTAAGAAATTGTCACAGTCCACTGAATCTTCAACAGCCAACCCTCTGATCAATCAGCAGCCATTATTATTGAGGTCAACCCTTCAC